CGGCGCAAATGTTGAAGCAATACGAGCCGATACAGCATTAAGTCGTTCCACTTCAATCAGCTGCCATGGGAGTGCTCCCAGTGAATTCAGCAATCTCGGCATTGAAGCACGACAAATCTGTTAATTACCACTTTCATATTTTTACAGTTTACATAATTTCATACATAAATTAAGAAAACCAGCAAAATTTGTTTTTTTTTTCCTTATATTTCACGGCATGATTCTGAATCCCTGGCATGAAAACGTATTATTTCATCAGCAGAACTATTAAACATCTCATAAAGGATTGGATTTTTTACTGACAGAACTGACTTCTGCACAAAGAGCACCGCAAACCGTCGAAACCTTGCCAGGAAACACAACGAACGCCGGGATTGCCTCCAAAAGATTGACTAACAGATGGTGCAACAGTGGTCAAGGCCCTGGATGGAAAACCATGCTGCGGACTACAGCTGATTCAAATATTCCATGTACAACTCAGCAGTATCAAAAGTTCCGCACCGATAACCCTCTTAATTGGAACTTTTGCTTCAGTTCTAATGAAGCAGTTTCAAATCGGCAGTTCTGCTAATTATATTCTGACCAAGAGAAACAGAAAATCTGCATATTTAAGCGACCTTTGGAAGTGTCAGTGGCAAGAAAAATGCTTACCGCGTAATTAGCCGGTCGACTAACGCAGCTTGCCAAAAGCGAAAATAACAAGGAATGAAAAGCTCGATGAGCGTCCATCGGTTGTTGAGCCTTAACTGAGAACAGAGTCAATAACTGCTTTGAATTTTTCCTAGCCATAAAAACAATTAAACTGATAATCATAAGAAAGCAGTTGTTCATGTGCTGAAAGTCGAGGATGAGACCTCGTCAGTGAGAAAACCAGTCCCTCTATGATCGTTCATTCAAATCGATTATAAAATGATACTGTTGGCATGTACTATGGAGTCAACTCTCCCCCCTCCCCCCTTCCCAGTCAGCTTTCTTCTAAGCAGTCCTTGGGAAAGTAAGCTATCAACAGCCTTGCCACATGCTATCACTAATTCTATTTCTTCCTGCAGTCTTCACCTTTCGTAACAAATGAATACGAGGGAATTTTGACTTCGTGACATCAGCTGATGCAC